CCCCGGACGAAGCTGGGTCGGCCCCGGGGCTCCACTCGGACCTTGCTCCGAGCTCGGATCCATGGGGGTCTCGGCAAAAGGCGGCAAACCTGCCACCCAGGCCTCTGGACCCCCAGACAGCGTGCGCCAGGAAGGAGCCGGAGATCCGACGGGCGTAGGTCTGAGACCTCGGGTGCGGAAAGGCCGGGGTGGCACTGGAGGGGCAAGTCCTGGATACCGGGAGAGCCTCGCCCATCCGACGGGCAAGTCCGGCAGCGGTTTCCCCCCTCCAGCCGACCACTGAACCGCTGAGCCCAGAGGTAACGGTCCGACTACATGTCCCAGAATGCTCCGCGGGGCGCGGGCCCGGAGCGGTCAACTACATCTCCCAGAGTGCTCCGCGGCGGGCGGTTGCCCGGGAGACGCGCGGGTCGGCGGCTCCATCCCGTCCGTGTGGCTGTTCGCGAGGCGGTCCTCGAACCCACGGCTCCCAAAGGGACGCGGCAAGCGCCCCGAAACCTCAATTCTGAAGCCCCAGGGAGCCGAGCCCTTCGGTAGGGTCAGGGTAGCCTCCCTCCGAGGCTGAACTACATTTCCCAGAAGCCTCCAGACGCGGTCGCTTCCGGTCGCGCGCCACCGAAACGGTCTCTTCGGACTCTTGCCAAGGATACAACAAACCCGGGAGGGTATTTGGGTTCCTAAGGAGTGGGAGACAGAATAGAGGGACAGAGGAGAGAAAGGTACATCTGGATGCAAAGCCACGAGGAAGAGCACAGCTCCTGTTGGTTTTAAGCTCCACGGACGCGCGGGCCCCTGGGAAATGTAGTCCCTGAGTGACGGCCACGGCCCCTGCAGCTAAGGCAGAGGTCTTGCACCTTCTTCTCCCCTCTTGTCCAACACGGTTTACCTCCCAGGTGCTTCTGTCTTTCCTTCCTTCGCACCGGACACTGCTTATCCTCGTCAACTTGCTCCCAGTCTTGTTCCCTTAACGGATGTAGCATGGAGCCACCAGTTCCTGGGCTCCTCAAGGGCAGACTGGGCAAATACAATTAAGTCCACTGGCTTGTACCGGATCTCACCTACTGCCTCGCGCCAGTTTCTCACGGTTAGGAACCATCGTCAGCTAGGATTTTCTCATTTCTGACGGATACCTCAAAGTCCTGTTCCTTTTTTTTTTTTTTTAGACAGATGATTTTGTACTTTTTTTTTAATGTGCATTCACCCTCCACGCACCCCACCACCAAAGGATATAGCACATTCCAAGAGTAGTTTGATTTGCAGAATATTCTTGAAAACTACTAAATTGCCTTATATTCTGAAAAAGTTAGGATTTCACGTTTCATCATGCAATACAAAATCACTCACACCTAGGTGTTTCCTGAACTTTGTAAAGTCACCGCAAATTAATACATTTTTAAAAAAGTGGTTCTTGGGGGTATGATGCCGCCAGCAGATCAATCTGTACCTGTGAGGCGAGGGCATCAGCAGCCTGATGGCGCCTTCAGACTTCCAGATACCCCAAAATTGCTGCTGTGCCTTTGGCCAGACCCCAAAAACTTGGGGCAAAGTTTACCAAGAAAGTAAATGGCCAAAAGTTAGGTATGTGGGAGACACACCCACAAACCACCTTGGGCTCAGCTATATAACTGGAGGCATGGCCTCTCTGGTTCCTGATCAAACTGCTTAACGGCCATGATCCCAGAGACTCAGAAACAAATCTCAAAACCCAATGGCTTTTGGCAGAAATGTGTCCAGTCCCTGCAGTAGGTTACCGGAGCTGGGCCAATCCAGGTGGGAATAGGTTTTGTGCCTTGACCTGTTCCCTCTGGTGGCCCGGTGGCTGCCATCCTCCAGAGGCCACTGGACAGTCTGTGTCCGCAGTGAGGAGACACACGGGGCCTCACAGGATGGAGTGGAGCCGGCCCTTTCCACCCCATCCCAACGAGACCCCGAGTCACCGCCCACGAACGGGCTCTCTTGCTCCTGATCAAGCTGTCTAATGGCCATGATCCCAGAGACTCAGAAACAAATCTTAGAACCCAGTGGCTTTTGGCAGAAATGCACCTGGACCCCGCAGTAGGTTACTATCGCCAGGCCACCCCAGGGGGGAAAGGGTGTTGTCCCTCTGCCTACTCCCTCTAGGCCACCAAGCCGCCATCCTCCAGAGGCCACAGGACAGTCAGGTTTGGGCCCGCAGTAACGAGATACACGGGGCCTCACGGGATGGGGGTGGAGCTGGCCCTTTCCTCCCCACCCCAACGAGACCCCGAATTACCGCCCATGAACGACCTTTCTGGCTCCTGATCAAGCTGCTTAATGGCCATGATCCCAGAGACTCAGGAACAAATCTCGGAACCCAGCAGGTTTGGGCAGAAATTCCTCCAGATTTAATTATTAACATTTCATAATTTCAAAATCGCGCGGCCATTGCTGAAGCCACACGACATCATATGTTATTCATAACCAGCAATAGAAAACAAATTGTCTACTGTTGCCTTTTCAGCAGACCTGAGTGTTGGGGTAAAATCCCAAATAATAATGGTGGGTCTGGTGTCAAAATATTGAATGTAATCAAAGTAGAGAGAGAGTAATGTGGAAATCATCTGCCCCACGGGTAGGGGGAGGGAGTGGGATGGGGGTATACTGGGGATTTTGGTGGTGGAGAATGGGCACTGGTGAAGGTACGGGTGTTTCATTGTATGACCGAGACTTAGACCCAAAAGCTTTGTAACTGTTTTGACGGTGATTCAATAAATAAAATTATAGAAAATGGAACAAAAAAGTAAGGTAGAGTTCATGCCCAATTCAATAAGCTAATCACTGGCTGAATAAATAGCAGTACTCCTACATAGAAAAAAAAAGGCAAAAAGGAGCAAATATCTAATTGTTTCTGTATTTTCTAAAATTTCCATGAGGGCATCTATGATTTTACTTTAGAAAAACACAGGACTACCTATAAAATGAAGGAAGGGAGGAGAATTTAAATAAAAAAAAAAGTGGTTCTTGTGTAAAGTGCTTATCTCAAAACTGGTAAGATCAAAATATAAAATAGAGGAGTTGAGTTTTCCCCCAAGCACACTTCGAACATCTAAAAATTTGTAATTTAGCCTGCTCCAAAGTGCGGGTGTGATCTGGCTGGAGGCTTCAGCAAAGGAGGCATACTTTGAGAGAGCATCAGCCGGCCTAAAGAGGAGTGAATAATGACGTGCAGGAAAATAAATGAGGTGTTGCTCATATCAAAGCACCCAGAACTCTCCTTTTGAAGTGAGAATACTTGGCAGACAGTTCCACTGGCCTTTTACCTTCTCTGGGAAGAATGGCCCATATCATAAATGCAGAAAATTATGTCACTGATAAAGCCATTTGGAAGTCACATCAGAAATATGTAATCTGTTCCTAGCACTTTAGAGTGTTTCCTCCCGCACTGAATTTATCACTTTCCAAGTGTGTATTAAAAAGAACTTCCCCAACTCTCTCCTTTCTGTTGCTATGGTCATGTGTGTGGCTTGATGGTGGTGCATGCGGGAGGTCCCTGTGAGGCTCATTTCTGCCTGCCAGGGATCACACTTCTGGCCACGGGCTTCCCAAGGCCACACTTGAGTTGTAGCCCTCACACACATCTGGCTGAGACTATGGTGGTTCCAGACCACCAAGAGAGAGCAATAGCACATATAGTGACTCTGGGGCTCGGATTCAAGACATCATGCTTGCAGAACAGGTGCTTTATTTACTTTTTTGGGTTTTGGGCCCCATATGGAGGTGCTCAGGGGTTACTCCTGGCTCTGCACTCAGGAATTACTCCTGGAGGTCTCGGAGGACCATATTGGGTGCCTGGGATTGAACCCGGGTCACCTACATGTAAGACAAGTGCCCACCCTGCTCTTCTCTCTCTCCGGCCCAGAGAGGGTTTTAAGCACTGAGCCATTCAGATCTTGTTTCATTTATTTCGATGTTTCCTGTAATTCCTTTTTTTTTTTTTTAACACTGCCAGGATCAAAGTTGGGGCCTCACACATGCAAGGAAAGTGCTTGACTGCCGAGTCATGTCCCTTGCCCCAAAGCTCTTCATTTATGTTCCTTTTCTTTTTGGTTTTTAGGCCACACCCGGTGATGCTCAGGGGTGACTTGGCTCTGCACTCTTGAATCACTCCTGGTGGGCTGACAAATAGGATGCCAGGGACCGAACCCGAGTCGGCCACATGCAAGGCAAACCCCCTCCCCACCGTTCTATGGCTCTGGCCCCTTTCTTGTTAATGTTGGTGGGGGCACACCCAGGGATGTTCAGGGCCACTCCCAGCTCCATGCCTGTCTCCCGCATGCAGAGCCCGGAGCTCTCGTTCCGGCCCCAGTCTCTCATTTCTCGTGGGGAGTTGATTTTTTTTCCTGGAAAGTGGGAGGCAGCTACATCAGTTTGGAGCCACGAGAGAGGGACAGAAGCCCCCTGGGGAGGCTTGTCCCACTGGGTCCCTCCAAGGGTGGAGAAACTCATAAACGCTGTTGGTTACGTGGACAGAGGGATGATTCTCAGCCTTTCCTGAAGGTTGAGAATTATACCAAGTTGCAGTTTTCACCTGTGTCCCCAGAAGAATACCCTGGGAGCCCACAAGGGGCCATATGACCCCCTGGGAGAAACTAAATCAAGAGATTAAAAAGTATACTCAACCTGATAATCATGTATTAAAATACTGCTGCAGCCCTGGGCTGTGGCCACTATAATTCTACGGTTTTTCTTTCTTCTGTTTTGGAGCCATACCCGGTGGTGTTCAGGGATCACTCCTGGTGGGGTCTGGGGACCCTATGGGGTGGTGGGGATCCAATCCAGGTAGGGTGCCTACAAGGGAGCTCCCTGCCCACTGCATTGTCTCTCTGGCCCAATTCCATAGTGTTTATGACGACACAAAGTGAAGGAGAAAGCTCTGGGAAGGTCTGGGACAGGTGGGCGGCACCAGAACAGCACAGCACAACCCGACAAAGGTGGAAGCAGCCTGGCACCCTCTGGCAGGCACAGACATTTCCCAGGGTGGTGCTGGCAGACAGCAGCCTGCGCTCTGGGCAGTGTGTGGGCTCTGCCTGGCATGGGCTCTCACTTGATGGACGTGGAGGCACCCGCGAGGCCAGCTAGGTGATGATGGACATCTCCTCCCGGTCTCGGCTCTCGGACACTGAGTTGATGACGCTTTTTAAATACTTGACGAATTCTATCCGGATCTCTTCCGGGTCATCCTCCAGGTTGGAGTGCACCAGCTTCAGCTTGTTCAAGGGCGGAACTTTAAAGGGAAAATAGGGGGATCAGGTGGGATCTTTCACAGGAGGGCACTTCTCGTTCTGAATGAGCCCTGGAGAAGCTGATTCCAACTTTCTTTCTTTTTTTTTTTTTTTTTGCTTTTTGGGTCACACCTGGCATTGATGCACAGGGATTACTCCTGGCTCTGGCTCTGCACTCGGGAATTACTCCTGGCGGTGCTCAGGGGACCATATGGGATGCTGGGAATCGAACCTGGGTCGGCTGCGTGCAAGGCAAACGCTCTACCCGCTCTGCTATCGCTCCAGCCACTGATTCCAACTTTCTAGAGTCCCCAGATCCTGGGTCTCTGGCCTGACCTCAGTCCGGAGAAAGGATGCTTTTGTGCCCTGTGACCTGGCCTCTGGGGCACCCAGGGGTGCTCTCTCTCTGCACTGGAAGGGAAGGGGTCCCGGATGGCGGGTGGTACCTTCCACAGTCACAGGGCCAGGGTTGGGGGGGCACCTCTGGAATAAGGCAGGTCCCACACAAGTGGCAGGTTTCTCCCCTCCGCACGCCCCCCCCCCCTTGTCCTCTTTCAGAGGCTGCTCCCCACCTTAGCAGTTCAGAACACACTAAGGCCGCTGAGAGGGCTTGGGGGCTGCAGCTCAGGCTCTGCGGGCGGGACGCCCAGACTCAATGCCTGGGGGAGCAGTCCTGACCAAGCTAGGAGCAGTCCTGGAGCACTGTTGGGTATGGTCCCCACACAGGGAAACAAGGGAGGAAGGAATGAAGGAAGGAAAAAGGCCAGGCTCACTCTCCCAGTCCTTGTTTTCCCTCAAGCACATATCTCGCTGGCTTTTCTCGATGTTTCTTTGCTTGCCCATTTCCACTCTGGAGAAGCCTATGTTCTCTCTTGAACACACGCTTCTCGTTCTCCCTCCCCTCATGTCTTTCTAAATGTTTTAATAAAAACTATCTTGCATCACCAAAATAAAAAGGGGGGAGGGTTGCAGAGAGGCAGTACGGTGGGGAAGGCTGACACACAGCTGACCAGGGTTCAACCCCCACCACTGCATAGGGTCCTCTGAACCCCACCAGGTGGAAGCCCCGAGTACCAGTGGATGTGGCCCAAGCCAGAGAGAGAGAGAGAGAGAGGGAGGGAGGGAGAAAGAGAGAGAGAGAGGGAGGGAGGGAGAAAGAGAGAGAGAGGGGAGAGAGAGGGAGAAGGAGAGAGAGAGGACAGGAGGAAAAGAGGGAAGGAGGAAGGAGAGGGGGAAGAAGGGAAGGAAAGGGGGAAAAGAAGAAGGAAGGAAGGAAGGAAGGAAGGAAGGAAGGAAGGAAGGAAGGAGGATCAGGACCACTTGAGACAAGGCAGAGCCATATGTAAACATCTGGAGCACAGGAGACAGCAGGTGCGGGTGCGTGCATGGTCCTCACCCAGGGGCGGGCTGCTCTTGTCGCCGCCGGAGCCCGGCTTGTGGTGCGCGATGAGCAGGCACTGGCTGTCCTGCAGGAGCTGCTGCTGCACGAAGTTCGAGTACCACATCTCGATCTCCTTCAGGTGGCTGGGGATGTCGGCATTGAAGACAATCACCACGCCCTGTGCGTCCTTCATGAGGGCCGGCCAGCACGACTCGAATCTACAAGACAGACATGACTGGTGAGTGGTCCCAGCTTCGATCCACTTTTCGTGATGTTTTCTCGATCGGGGACTCCCCCAGGCTGCAGGAGCCAATCTGGGAAGCTGAGAGAGCAACTCCAAGCCACCGATCAAGGACGAAGCGTGGTCCGGAAGGGGACGGTGCGGGGCCCTCCCATGCTCGGCGGGCAGCTGGGTATGGAGCACATGAGGCAGTCATCCGCTGTGTCAAGGAACCATACTTGGGGTCTCCGCCACAATCCCAGAGCTCGAATTCACAACCAGCGCCTTTGCTATTCATGATGACATTTGGGTTCTCGAATTCCAGGATCCTGAAAACATATAGTAGGAGAGCTAGGTACGCTGTGGGTGCCAACAAGCAGGGCTGGGTGGCAGGTGGGGATTTGCCGGGACAAGGTTTGCTCACCTCACGCCTTGGGTGGGGTTGTACTCAGGAATGTCCGAAGACTCCGTCAGGAAGTTAGCCAGCACCGTCTTGCCACTCTGTGCAAAGGAAGGGATGGAGAGGAGGCAGGCTGAGGGTAGAGAGGAGAGCATGATACCAGTTTGCAGGGAATGAGTTGATCTGGGGTTCGAGCCCCGGGCCAGGCTCCACGCCCACTAACGTGAGACCCACAGGAAGGAAGCTTGTTTTTGGGGGTCAGGGATGTGGCTCATGGGACTGCACAGACCTCGCAGGCAGAGATCCTAGCTTCGCTACCCAGGAGTGACCCTCACAACAAGTTTTCGTGTGTGTGTGTGTGTGTGTGTGTGTGTGTGTGTGTGTGTGTGAGCCTTGGGCCATATTCGGCGCAGCTCAGTGCTCCCTCCTGGCAGTGCTTGGGGGACAGTGTGTGGTACCCGGGATCACACCCAGCCAGGTCGGTCAGGTGTAAGGCAGGTGCCTTAACCTGCTGTATATCTCTCCCGCCCGTCAAACAGCATCATTAAAACACAAATTGTTTCTTTCTAGACCTACTGGATTCCTAGGCTCAAGGCTAGGGTCAGGGGCATTTGGGTTTCAACAGGCAAGTCTCAACTCAGAGAATAATCATCTGTCACACAATTTTAATATATGTATTATGGGCTAGAGCAATAGCACAGCGGTAGGGCGGTTGCCTTGCACATGGCCGGCCTGGCCCAGCCAGTTTCAATTCTTCTGCCTCTCTCGGAGAGCCTGGCCAGCTACTGAGAGTATCTCGCCCGCACGGCAAAGCCTGGCAAGCTACCTGTGAGGTATTCGATATGCCAAACACAGTAACAATAAATCTCACAATGGAGATGTTACTGGGCCCGCTCAAGCGAATCGATGAACAATGGGAGGACAGTGCTACAATTTTAATTTAATATATAAAATATTATATTGTAATATATTTATGATATTATATATTATAATTTTATATGGGGCTGGAGTGATAGCACAGCGGTAGGGCGTTTGTCTTGCGCATAGCCGGCCTGGCCGAGCCGGGTTCTATTCCTCCGCCCCTCTCAGAGAGCCCGGCAAGCTACCGAGAGTATCTTGCCCGCACGGCAAAGCCTGGCAAGCTACCAGGGACGTATTCAATATGCCAATGCCAAACACAGTAACAACAAGTCTCACGATGGAGACGTTACTGGGCCCGCTCGAGCAAGTCGATGAACAACGGGAAGACGGTGACCGTGATAATTAAATATATATATATATATTTATATATATATTCACGGAGCGATGTCCGTGCGTGGATTTCTCTTCCACTGAGCACTACCACGCACGCGACACTAGCTAATGTCTCTTCTTTCCCCCAGGTTTTCTGGATCTACAGGCAAATTCCTTCGGGACACCCTCGGGTGCGAAAGAAAGAATCGCGAGACCTAAATTCGGGCTGCCCCACGCCACTCGCGACTCTGGGCCTCCCGGCCGCAATCAACCCGGTTCAGGACCCAATAGAGCCAAGTACACGGTGAGGCCCGCGGCTGGTTCCGTCCTCCTCAGCGGCGCCCCGCGCTCTCTCGAGCCCTGCCGCCGGCCCGGCCCGGTCCCGGCCCCGGCCCCGGCCCCGATCTCACCTCGCAGGGCCCCACGAAGAGGATTTTGGCCTTCAGCATCGCTCACAGGTCGGTCAGGAACCCACCGCGCAGAGCCGCTGTTGTCAGCGCGGAGCGGAGGCCCCGCGCTGATTGGCTGCCTCCGTTGCCAGGGAGATGGAGCGCGCACCGCGGGGACCGACGGGAGTGGGCGGGGCCTGCCGGTAGTGGGCGGGACCACGCGGGTGGGCGGGTGGGCGGGGCCTGGGAGTTGCTGCTCCCCGCGTGTTCCTGGGCTGCAGAGGCTCAGGGAGAAGAGGAACTATCGCGGCCCAAGCTGCTCGCCCAAGCTTCTCGTTGTAGAGACCCTGAAAATGAGACTCCGGGAAGGGTGGAGTTGCGGTGCCCTAGTCCTTACTCTTCTCGGTGCCCGGAGAGTTCAGATCAGGGCGCCTCTGTCTCTCTGACCTGAAACTAACCACATTACAGACTCATCACAGCCCTGGCCCGTGGGGAGAAGTTCTGGGGGTGGGAAATGGGTATGACCTCCATAAAGGGGTCCCGTGCACGCGATCTTCTAGGGGAACCTTGGCTTTGGTCAGTGTCAGCTGCTGCTACATTTGATCGTGAGGTCAGCCTTCAGTGGCCGAGCCACTGCATTTCAGACGAGATGAAATTAATTAATTATCGAATTAATTTTTTTCTCAGAGCCGAAAACACCAGCCAAAATATGCTTGCCTCCAGGATGTCGGCGGGACAAAAAGGACCCAGATAAATTCAGGTTTAGAGATGTCACCTATAAACGATCAGAAAAGTAGCAGGAGAAATAGGGTGGTAGGGAGGGTATTTGCCGTGCAAGTAGGAGATCTGAGTATGTGGCCCCCTGCGCACTGCCAGGAGTAAGCCCTGAACACAGCCGGGTGTGGTCCGAAAACAATAGCAGTAACGAAACTCTCTTCTCTCAAGGAGCCCAGAGATGAGAGAACTCCCTTCACCAATGCTGCTGTCTGCTCAGGCCTTTCTGCTAAATCTCTGCTTGACTGTTCTCCTCGATCCCCATTTTTCTTCATTTGGGGGTGCCCGCTGGTGCCAAAGGAATGATTTGGCTAATTGTGATGCCAAAGGAATGATTTGGCTAATTGTGATATAATTGACACACAACAAGAGCTATAATACTATTTATATATGTAATGTTTTCTGATATGAGTGTTATGTTATTTACGCATTCTCTCAGGTTTATAGTATAAACAAATATTGCCAAAAATTTATCATGATTAACTAATGACCAGGCATCTCTCTACAGTTAGTTTTTGTTGGTGCTCCGGGGACCAGATGGAATGCCAGAGATCAAACCTGGCTTGGCTGCGTGCAAGGCAAGCACCTTCTCCACTGTACTATCTCTCTGGCTCCAATGGTGATTTTTTTTTTTTATCTGAAGTTGCTTTTTTGGATGGGAGGGAGTCACACCCAGTGGTGCTCAGGGTCACTCCTGGCTCTGCACTCAGGAATTACTCCTGGCTGTGTTGGGGGACCATATGGAATGTCGGGGATTGAATCCATATTGGACGCATGCAAGGTAAGAGCCTTACCTACTGTCCCATCGCTCCGCCACCAGAAGTTGCTTTTAAGGGACCAGAGTGATGCTACATGGGAAAAGGCACTTTCCTTGCATGTGTTCCTCCTGGATTCGACCCTAAGCACCACTAGGAGTAACCCTTGATCACAGAGCCATAAGTAATCCTATGGCAGATACTTTACTTCTCTCTCACTCTTTCTCTCTGTCTCTTTCATTTTCCTTTTAGGCACTGTGCTTTGCAATACTGTTACTGAGAGAGTATCACTTTACCTCCTTTCAACAACTCAATTCTTGTATGAGTGATCATTTCCTACTATCATTGTCATAGTGGTCTCTTCTTTGTCCTAATTTCGCTCACCCTCCCTATCCACACACATATTTTTTCTTGCTCCAAGACCCTATGTCCATGGTCCACGGTCCTCCCGTTGTTCATCGATTTGCTCGAGCGGGCCCAGTAACGTCTCCATTGGAGACTTTGTTGTTACTGTGTCTGGCATATCCAATACTCTCGGTAGCTTGCCGGGCTCTCCGAGAGGGGCGGAGGAATCGAACTCGGGTCGGCCATCTTGGCCGCTTATAAGGCAAACGCCCTACCGCTGTGCTATCGCTCCTAAGACCCTATGAAGTAGGGTTTTTTTTCCCCTTCTTTTTGGGTCACACACAGCGATGCTCAGGGGTTACTCCTGGCTCAGCACTCAGGAATTACTCCTGGCGGTGTTTGGGGGACCATATGGGATGCTGGGAATTGAACCCTGGTCAGCCATGTGCAAGGCAAACGCCCTATCCACTGTGCTATCGCTCCAGTCCCCACATACATATTTTTTATATCCTTCAAATATGTGCAATCATTCTACATCTGCCCCTCTCCCTCTGGCTTGCTTCACTCAGTGTGTTGCTCTCCAGGTCCATCCTTGTATAAGCGCATTTCATGACTTCATTTTCCCTAACAGCTGCGTGGTATTCCATTGTGTAGATGTATTACCACAGTTTTTTTATCCACTCATCTGTTCTGGAGCTCTCCGGTTGTTTCTATACTCTGGGAATTGTGAGTCTCTGTTTTGAGCTTTTCTCTACTTTGTATCCTTCCAGATGGTTATTTATTTATTTATTTACCTTTACTTTTTGGGTCACACTTGGCATGCACAGGGGTTACTCCTGGGTCTATGCTCAGGAATTACTCCTGGCACTGCTCAGGGGACCATATGGGATGCTGGGACTCGAACCCAGGTCAGCCACGTGCAAGGCCCTACCCGCTGTGCTATTGCTCCAGTCCCCCAGATGGTTATTTTTATGAGTAATCCCTCATCACCATCCAAGACATACATTCTTTTGTATGTATGAAAAAAAAATCAAGTTCTAAGAACCTCAAAAAGTTATTCCTTTCCCCCTGAGGGAACCCAGGGTTACTGATACCTTATGGTTCTCTGGGGCCACCAGGGCTACCCCCAAAGGCTCTCGTGGGCCATCCAGCTTGGGGCCTCCTCATCTTTCAGCCTTTTGCTCTTTTTGCCCTGAAACACGCAGGGCTTTTGGGGGATGCAGTGTCAGGTGTTGGGTGGTGAAATCTCTACCCTGGGAAATGCCCTTTGGAAATGGAGAGACCTAGTTTTTCACCTTTGGGGGGGGGCAGTTTGGACCCCACCTGCAGTGCTAAGGGGCTATTTCAGGCTCTGTGCTCAGGAGTGAGCTCTGGCGATGCTGGTGGAAGGAGGGGTCAGTGGGATTCAAACCAGGATCAGTGGGATGCTAAGCAAGCCTCTTAACCCCTATACTATCTCATTGGCCCCTCCAAGAAGATCTTTTCTCATTTTTAATGAGAACAATTACTTAAAGCAAGGTATCACTCCACAGCTTAAAGAGATGCTGGACTGGAGTGATAGCACAGCGGGTAGGGTGTTTGCCTTGCATGTAGCTGACCCGGGTTCGATTCGCAGCATCCCATATGGTCCCCCAAGCACCACCAGGAGTAATTCCTGAGTGCAGAGCCAGGAGTAACCCCTGGGCATCGCCAGGTGTGACCAAAAGAAAGAAAATGCAGGAAGGACCCCCAGCTCCATTCATTTCTCCTTTTGATGTTCCCCATTAAGACAGCTGGGTCCACGCTGGGCTGGGGGTCCTCCCGGCATCTCCACCCAGTGAAGGGGATCCGAGCTGGGGCTCTCTGACCAGCCTTCATGGCATTGCCTTGGGAAGAGCTGCAGTCCTGTACACCCCTTGATGCCTCCAAAGTCACTGAGCTAAATCCAGATTCAGAAGGGCAGGTATACAGTAGGTGCTCAGCTAATGCAGCCTCTCAGGTCATGTCCATGCTCATAAACCGACCTTCATTGGCTGGAAATGGGTGAGATAATGAATGTTCCTTTCGACTTTCCTCGGGCCTTCATTTTTATTTCCAGGTGAGAGAAAATTAATTTTTTTAAAAAAGGAACTCCTTTTCATTTCTGGGACATAGGCACTCTATAAATTTGGGGTTATTATGGTAGATTATTGAAATACTTTGCTTTACGACTTTCATTTTAATTAGAAGATATAGACTCCAGGCGACTTAATCCCCAGCCTTTGGGCCTAAAGGGAATCTTTGGATGTTGGGAGGGGCTGGATGACCTCAGAGAGATTTGTCTCCTGATTCTGTCATTCACAGCCATAAAATCTCTCCCTTGGAAAAAAAAATAAAGAAAAGTAAAAGAAAAACGCTGAGAAATGCGCTTGACATATTTCAAATCCTTTCTATAAATTGTTGAAAAGATTTAATAAAACCGCCTGTCATAAAATCTTTAATTTGAGTTGGCCTCTGTGGTCCCAAGTCTTACACATGCAGTTTTTATTACTAAGGAATAAATTGTGGATTTCCTGTTATTTGAAGGAATAAAAATTCCCCTCAATCACCTCCCTACGCACACACGGGGATTCAACTACCCAGTTCCATACTCGGGAGAGGAATGGTCACAGAGTGGTGTGTAACCTGCAAATACTTGGTCCTCTGTTTCCCAGACAATTGAAGATCAAACTTTTGGCAAGAAGTCTGAGAGGAGACTGTGGCTTGGCCAGAACCTCTGGTCTTTTTTGGCACGTTCTGCTAGAAGGTTTCTTTTGGGTGTGTGTGTGAAAAGGGGTGCTGGTTTTATTTTGTGCTTGTGAATTTGGGGACAGTTCTCAGGGTCTATTCCAGGTCTGTCCCCTGGGCACCCCTCGTGGCCCTATGTGGTACCAGGGATTCGAACCAGGGTCGGTGTGTGCAAGGCACAAACCTTAACCCATGCCCTATTCCTCCAGCACAGGGTACCGTTTTTGTCTTGGGCCACACCCAGCAGTGCTCAGGGATCACTCCTGGCAGTGCTCAGTGGACCATATACGGCGCTAGTGAACAAACTCAGCTCAGTCACTTTTTTTTTTTTGCTTTTTGGGTCACACCCAGCAATGCTTAGGGGTTACTCCTGGCTCTGAACTCAGGAATTACTCCTGGCAGTGCTTGGGGGACCATATGGGATACCAGGCATCGAACTCAGGTCGGCCAGGTGCAAGGCAAATGCCCTCCCCGCTGTACTATGGCTCTGGCCCCTGTCAGTCATGTTTAAGGCAAATGCTCTCCCACTGTA